CCACACATACTTGCGCAGACCTTTATGCTTGCCAGAGTCAATGACTGCCACTTGATGCAAGGGACGGCGCTTGATGCCAGCACTGAAGCTCTTGCTTAAGTGCGAGAATGTTTCCTATAATGTAGGAGTATTAGTTTAACGCTAAATATGCATAAATTACTCTTTACAGGTGCTTCAGTGCCTCACCTTGTGCACATGAAACGTTTGCAGTATTTGCCTCGTACTAATTGCCTGCTGAAGCGCAGGCTCCGGCTCGATGGTTGAGTTGAGGAGCTCTATCACATAGTCCAGCCAGGCCTCATATGCCAACGCTGGCTGCACAGCCACTCCCACAGCCTCAACTACAGTTGTACACGTAGGTTCATTCACAATGAGCGCACGTTTTGCTGGTAGTGGAGGTTGCTTGCGCGTCTTGACCTCATCCACAATTTCAGATGCTTTGATGGCCGCCTTCTTGACGACCGCAATCGTGGGCAGCTCTATGGCGGGCAGCTGATTGGTGGCTGCCGGCGGCGCCTTTGCGTAGATGGGCTGAGGCGTCAGTATGTTGTACGGCTCACTGACCAACGGCAGCTCAATATCCTCGCTGCACAAATCGATCTGGTCGGTCAGCTGATATTGATCCATGAGCTCAATATTGCAATCAGTCAGCTCTAGATGTTGATCCTGCTGCTGCTCAGCGTATATATCGAAGTTAGACAAGAGCTGGGCATCGTTGGGAGCACAACTACTGCTGACGCTGTGTGCGGCAGGCATCGAATCCATGTCGTATATGATATCTGAGAGCTCCTCTGGCATGGGCAGCAGCTGTCAGATTGAAACATGGTAAATTGGAGGACCTTTATAAGTATATCAGACTTACATCCGTGTCTGTTACACAGAACTCATCGTCAAAGATGTATATGTCCTCAGAGAGATCAACATCACCGCTTGGGATTATGCTTAGGCTTAGACGTAAATCGTCGTGTGTGGTTTCGCCTAGAGGCGTCTCCAGTTTGTCGGGCATCCAAAATGTCTGCAGACTCTTTGTAAAGTTGCCATAGATCGTCTTGCCCTGTGGTGAACTGAGTATGCCAGCCAGCACGAGGAGCAGATGATCACAAATTTCATCCTGCATAACCAGGGAGTTGTCTGGCTCCACGATAATCTTTAGCTTGCGACAGGCACACGCATAGGTGCCCTTTTTGGTGGAGAGTCCGTTGGCCAGCGCCGTCACATGCAGATGCGCCGCTGGAAACGTGTTCGAACGTTGACATTTGACCACAAAAGTAGTTGCATTTAGTCGCTGCACTGCCGGCCAGTGGTCCTGCTCCTCGGCCGATTTATACTGCTGCCAGAGCTGTTGCTTTTGCTCTATCGTAATATTCAGATTCCAGAGCACCTCACGCGACACGGTGTACACCTGCGCCATGGGCATCTGATCCTGCCCATCGCGACAGGCTTTGATGTGCCGGCAATCGCTGTTGGCCTTACACGCGTCCACATAACACACAGCTTTACTGGAAACAACGGCTGCATTCGGTTGCAACGATAACGTCACATCCTCAAAGGACACAAAATTTCGCGGCTGAGCCTCTGGATCCCGTTCTTTGGTCCGCACCGAATAGACTGTACAACCAGCACGTTGGCACACCAGCTGCACTCCATCGAGCTGATTTTTGTTTTGGGGACACGTAAGATTCCTACAGAAGAGAGCACGACTGCCATTTATGGCGCCGCAACTTGAACATTTTCTTAAACCGCGTAACGTTGGAGGTCGAATTTGTATTAAATCCGTACATTTACTCTCGTTAGACATATTTACAGCGCTGCCATACTGTTTAATAAGAGTGTCAATCTATCGATAAGTATACGGTTTTCGCAATAGCTATCGTTAAATTACCGCGAAAATACATTTTGAAATGTAAAACCAAACTTGTTAAGCCCCAAACTTAAGCGTAAATGAAATATAAGTTAGAGCTCCTTCAACTTTAAATGAAAACTGTATTTACTTAATTAAGTTCACACGCATGCCGCATGTCGCTGCAAACTCTCTAGGCAATCGAATTCCACCTGTGCCTCGATCCAACGAGCCACTGTAAGCAGCAGCTGCTCATTCAGGTTATTGCTCATCAGCTGCAGACTAAGCGGCAAGCCGGCTTTAGACAGTCGTATAGGTATCGACACAGCTGGGATTCCTGCCATATTGGCTGGCTGTGTGCAAAAGTCCTGTACGGCGCACTGATCACGGTTGCTCAGAGCGGCAAAGTCCTTGTAGACAGGCGCTTCGCTTAGCGTTGTGGGCGTTAACAATATATCCACTTGGTGCTTGGTTGTCGCTGGCTCGAACACTTTAGTAAAATCTTCAGCGATCAAACGACGCACACGCAAAGCCTTTTCAAAATAGTGATCATAGTTTTTGCGCAGTAGCAGAAAGTTTCCCGTTAATATGCGCGTCTTGACCACCTGATTAAAGCCTTCAGCTCTAGACTGTGCATAGAGCTGCTCAGTGCTTCGCTCGTCTGCTGCTCGGTGTCCATACTCGATGCCATCGTACCGCGCCATATTACTCGCTACCTCACATTGATTCAGTATGGAGTATACGAATATGCTGGCCGCAGTGTGAGGCAAGGATACCTGTCGCACGCTGGCACCTGCGCACTCCAGTAGGTCCGCCACCTTGGTCCAGGTTTCGAGGACTTCAGACGATAGTCCTTCGCAGTTATATTCTTTGGGTATGCCAATGCGCAGAGAACGCAAATCAATTTGATCAATTTCTGGTAATAGTAGTTTCTTGTATGGCCTTCTTATTGTCGTCGAGTCCTGTATATCCGGACCGGCTATGGTATTAAGCACCTCAACACAGTCGGTTACCGATCGGGTTAATATGCCGGGCACATCCATTGAATTAACAAGTGGTATGAGACCGTAGCGAGAACAAAGACCATATGTTGGCTTTAGTCCTACTACGCCACAATAGGAGGCGGGATTACGCGTTGATCCGCCCGTATCAGAGCCAATCGCTCTGCAATAAGAATATAAATAAATTAGTTTTAAATAAATTCATATTTTCGTCGTATAGTCATCGATAAATCTTGATCTATAAATGAATGCAGCTATCGATATATTACTTGAACGTTTTTTGACACCTGCACAGCTGACAGCTGTGAAACGGTCACACTGCGCCATCAGCTAACGCAAAGTAAAATATTTACGTGAAATTACGAATAATTTGTAGCGTATTGAAGCGATGTCTGCGCTCTTTCGCCTAACCAGCCGTGCCGTGGCACTGCAGCGCTCCGCAGCGCTCAATCAGGCAGCAGCGCTACGCCTGTGCCGCAGCATCAAAACATCACCCAAGAAGGATGAAACGGTTGCAGCACCAGCAACTGTGACGACCGAAGACTTTGCTAATCCCAACCCAAAGAACTGGATAAGCTACGGCTTCGATTACAAAAGTGAGGCCGAGGACCGCAAATCAACAAAATCGACATTCTTCTTTGCAGTCACACTGTGCCTTGTGTGGGGCACATTTTATTGGTCCTATTTACCCGATACGAAGTTGCGCGACTGGGCTCAACGCGAGGGCTTTTTGGAGCTGCGTCGCCGCGAGGAGGCGGGCGTCGATTTGATTAGCCCCAATTATGTGGATCCCGATAAGATTGTGCTGCCATCGGACGAGGATCTCGGCCAAACAGAAATTATTATTTAAACAATTAGTGAACTAACCCTTAGTTTGTTTTGTAAGCGAATGTTATGTAATGGAATATGCTGTTGGCCACAGCGGAACGCGTTTCATGTGCGTAAATAAACGAACATATTTCGGCACGAACTCATTTGTCAGTGACTGTCTTTGCTTTTTAAAAGTGAGCTAAGCTAAAATACGCAGTTTTATCAATTGTTCTTACAACTGCTGCATTTTGAGGTTAGATTGGGTCAAAAATGTAAACAAAGAACTTACGCATAACACAAACCAGCAGCAACAGCTGATGCGGAGCCGCCGGAACTACCGCCTGCTATGCGCCAATTGTCCTCACTAAATGACTCACTCCATATATTCTTGGTTGGCCCATAGATTGAGTCCACTGTGCCGGCACCCATAGCAAATTGATCCATGTTCGTCTTGCCCAATAAAACGGCGCCGGCTTCTTTTAAACGCGAGCAGACAGTCGCATCGTAGGGCGGCACAAATTCCTTTAGCATGCTGTAAGAGGATTTTTTAGTTAATAGCATCTTTCATTTAACAGTAATCATAAGGTACTTACCGTGAAGCGCAAGTTGTGGCTATATTCTTTGTACAGAAATTGTCCTTAATAGCTACGGTAACGCCATCCAAACTGCTCAATGGCTTCTGCTCCGCATACCGGCGAACCGACTCCTTGGCCTGCTGTAACGCCTGTTCGGCTGCAATGCACACAAAGGCGTTCAACGTCTTTAGGTTAGTGGACTCTGCCAGCGCTTGCTCCGCTACCGACAGCGGAGACAATTGTCCATTGATGTAACTTTCGGTTAGCTGAAATGCTGGGTCTGTTAAGAAACAGAAGAAATCTTGACAATTTCTCATACCTGTTTAATACTCAGCTGTAGGTGGCGTCTCATAATTACAATAAAAAATATAACTGAAAAACTGTCGAGTTAGCTTTAATTTAATAAAATAAAAACCACCAACATCATAAACAACAATTAATTCAGTTAATGCAGGCTATGTGTACGCACAGGGTGTACATCTATTTACACCCTGTCAACTAGAGATGCACACTTACCGATACTTTTAGCACGTTAATCAAAATTTAAACTTTAATTTGCAACTAACAAAAACGTAGATATATTTCATAAAACTCTTAGGCGATTTAAAACTAATTACATATAACATTTAGCAATAGTAAACTAGAGAGTAATCTATGTTGCGACATTTGACTATATGCCCGACCGTTTTTAGTGTTTTCTGCATTCATTAATTTTTTTTATTCTTATCTTTCGGATTGTGGTCGCCATGGGCTGTGGTTACATTCAGAGACTTATTTGCCTCCGGCTCCTTGTCCTCCTTCTTAATCTCTCGTTTAGCTGCAGTGGAAGAGGGTTCATCGTCCTCGGTCTCAGATTCGCATTTCTGTGAATGAGAATTAACGGATATTAGAATTGTTTGCGCTACATTTCAATATTGCTAATGAATGATGCTAGAAATGTACATGCAGTTATTTAGTTAATTTCAATTAGTTGAGCAGTGCATCGAACCAAGGCATATTTTCGATGCCTTCGAGAACGTTCAACATATCACTGTCGGTTTCATTAAATTCAAAATTCTGATCAGTTTGCATTGCACTTTGATTCGAGTTTTCATTGGAAACAGCATCGATAGAGGTGACTGCATCGATTGAGGGAATTTCATCTTGATTGGAAATATGATCTTGATTCTCAAAAATATTGTTATTATCGGTCATATATTGATCATCGAGCCCCAGCCCCAGAACACCACAGTCAATATCGAGCAACATGGCGTAATTCTCATCAATAGAATTGGTCAGATCTTCGACGGTATCAAAGTCAAATATACCATTTGCCAACTCCAACAGATCATTCTGAGTGCTGGAGTCAATGGAGTCATTGATCTGGTCATTGTCACCGTTAAAAGTCTCATCACTGCCGCCAGTCGCAAAAATACTTTCGATCGACGGTATGATCGGCACTTCATAAAACTATGGATGGGGAGGGGGGGTGAGATGTCGGTATTTTATTCAAAAATTGATCACAAGCTTTTTTTTTCATTAAACGCTACGAAATACTTACATATAGATATACGTATGTATGTCTAGCTAAGACTATACTATAGTATATAGTAGTTGTATATGTGTATAAATGTTGGAACTACCAGCTAATAAAGACTGCTGCTCGATCAAAGCAATGACAATCTATAGCGATCAATTCTGTTTGTCTTTACGATTTACGTTTGTATGAATAGAGTAGTGTCTATGTATGTATGTATGTATATGCAATTAGTATTTACACAAATGTAGGCGCAGAACTTATGCGTTTAGTGCTAATGCTCTAAGTAGTGCTATTGGTAGTTTGGTAGTAGGTATTTGCAGGCTCAGCCTCTAAATTAACGCACCTTTTGTATATACTGGCGTTTCGCCGGCACATTCAAATGCAGCACACATGTCGAGTCCTCTAATATGCTTGCAACGGGCTCTTGGCAGACGACACCGCTGCGCTCAACACCACAGGCGCGATACAAAACCTGTCGCTTGTCCTCGAGTATATGCTTACGGCAATGCTTGCAGCATGGCAAAGTGCGCTCGCCACACTTGACGCCGCCTTCAGTGAATACGCACTTCGGCTGACTGGCGGATTTGGTTGAGATCACAGTGTCGCGCGATCGCTTCTCTTTCATCTTTTTGTAGAGGAGCGCTTCTATACCCTGTCGACGATGATAGCCATTCAGCGCCTTCAATTGCTCATACAGCTTGCGCTCGTGCGGCGTGTCCTTGAGCTGGTCATGAATGCTGCCTGCAATGTCATAATTGTTAAAAAAAATAGTTGACCTAATAGATGAATCGCTTATTGATAAATTACAGTATGTCTCGCGCTCGCGGCGTATGTCCTGTAAATAGGAACGACGACGCTGCTTCAAGATATGCTGCAAATGTGTTATCTGTCCACGGTACAAGTTCTGCAATTTGATCAGTTTCATCTCTGACAGACGAACTGCCTCCGCACGTGTGTAAACGCCCGCATGTCTACAAATGGAGATAAATTTAATATGCAAATAATTGAGCCAGTCTATGCTGACTTACTTCAGAGGATCATCCTCCTCAGAGTCTACGCTCTCATAATCAGATTCATAGAACTCCAAGTCTTTTGCTGTATTTCTCAAGCACGGTGGATCTCCGTCATTGCTTGAGCTATCAGAGGCATAATCCAAAACGCGGCGCCGCTTGCGCACGCTGGACACAACTTGTGGTATGCTATTCGTGTGATCCTGATTAACTGCAAAAGATAAACAAAAAGATAAATAAAAATCATAATTGGTATAACATTGATTCTAAGTGCACAAATGTTATAGATAAAATTTTGCACCATATGGCAATGGTCGTTCACACAGACTCTGGCTGCAGCAAAAACTCAACGCCTAGAGTTCATAAATTCAGAGATTCTATCTTTTTAGGGGGCTACTCTTGGCTTACATATCACTTTATTTACAACACTCACCAAAAGGCGTCACATGCGGCGAAACAACATCAATTTCATCATCGTCCGGTTCCGGCTTGGGCAATTCCGGCTTTATGTCCTCTACATTCACGTGATGCGATAGATTATTGAGAAGCGTCTCATTGGTCTCGACGCGGCTACGTAAGCGGCCCACCGATGAGTGCGTCTTTTGTAGCTGCGCCTGGCGGTTGTGCTCGAAGCAAAGCGTGGTAAGTATTTGCTCCTTTTTGGTATCGAGTTTGGGCACTGCATTGGCGCATTTGCGTCCGTTAGGAAATACGTGTGTACACTGGCGGTAATTGGCGCGTGGATCGCGCAGAATGTGGCGAATGCAAAAATCATAGCCGTCAAGGCGCATCAAACTGCACGAATATGTGGGATTGCTGCAGTACTTGATTTTTGCTAATTCGCTGTGGATTTGCTCGCGTAATTTTTGTTCCTTTTCGGGTGTGCAAGCCGTTCCCGTAAATCGCGCGCATTGGCGCAATTGATTTGGGGAAAAACTAGACATTTTATGTTTATTGCTGCGACAGAATTTTCAACGATGCGACTGAAAAGTGCGTTGTTGCTGTTAGAGGTGTACAATGTTTTTATCGATTGCAAGCCGATACAAAACAAAAATTCGACATATATTTAGTAAAAGAACAAAGAATCGGTTCATTAGCGAGCCAGATATCGCATTAATTATCGAAATTACTAAAATCAAGCCAATTGAACTCTGCTAGATTATTAACGAGGGAAAACTGCAGTAGAAATTGTAAATATTTTTGTATCAATTATAAGCATTGCAGTTAATTTACCACTAAAAAAGTGAAACCATGTCGGAGGACAGTGATTCAATAGCCGAGCATGAAATCGACGAAACAATGGCAAACCAAAACACGATACCCCAGCTACCAACGCACAAGCGACAGAGTTTCGTCTGGAAGTTCTTTAGTCCAGTGCCCGACCACTCAAATGTTTTCAGATGTAACGTGTGCAATGAAACCTTTGCCAACAAAACAACCAATCTAAGCAGGCATTTGCAATCAGTGCATGGCCTCGCAGATGTAAGTAAAAGCTATTGGGATACTTCTCTCATATGTATTAAGCACTATTACATCCCAAAGCAGCATCAGCAGGATTCAGTGAAGAAAGGTCGGCCGAATCGCAGTTTCGTTTGGAACTTTTGCACCAAACTGGATGAGAAGCGTGCTCTGTGCCATATTTGTAAAAAAGTGTTGTATTTTGGCGGCGGAAATACGTCCAACATAACAAAACATCTGAGACGGATGCACTCTGAAAAGCTAGAGGAAGTTGTGAGTATGGCAAATCGGAGCTAAGGATTCTTTTGGTGAAACTTATCTGCTTGCAGGCTAAGCAAATGCCACTCAACATGCGCTGGTCCATGGAGCAGTCAACGAGGAAAGAGCGTAGAAGTTCCAGCTATGTGTGGAATCACTGCGAGAAACTGACGACCGATACAGTTCTATGCAGAATATGCAATCGTCGCATGCGATTCCATGGCACGGCCAACGTCATAACGCATCTGCAACGCCGGCACGGCATTATGGACGAAACGACGCAGGTGAAAACCGAGACGCCTGATAGAGTGCAGGAAGCAGCCACATCCAGCACGAACGAGAATCCGCGTAGAAACATCAGCGGCAGCCAGGTCTGGCGATACATCACACGCATTTCGGATGATGCAGTACGCTGTCGTGTTTGCCTTAAGAATCTATCGTATCAGGGCACAAGCAACCTGCAAAGGCATTTGCATCGCATGCACAATATTGTGTGGAACTCACAGCATCCGAGTGGACCGGTCAAAGCTGAAAGCCTTGACTTTGATGATAACTCGTTCTTCGCCTTCTGCGAAACCACCAGCGATCCCACGGTATGGAAGTGCCAAATGTGTGACGAGCACTTTGTGCACACCGACAATCTGGAGGAGGTCATAAGCAAGCACATGATTAAGATTCATAGCGCAGCAATGCGCGGGGAAACGGTTGAAGTATGCCAGCAAAGTATATTGATTGATTATAGCTTAACTTAATCATAATTTGTTATTATTTAGAGTTTCGCTCCCACAGAAGAGGAGGATGAAGAGTTCGCCACTCTCTATACGGAAGTTGTTGCTGATGATCACAATACGACTGTCTCGGGAGAAGTCAGCGAGCAAGCGAGGGTAACAAATGTCGTTGCTGAGGATGCGCTCTACGATGATCTCATCGAGATTGATGAAGATCTGCAGACTGCTGAAGAGGTTGGTGAGCAGTTTGCAGTTGAAAGTGATCGCTATGGGAATACATTGCCCGCGCAGTCGGGCGAAAATGTTGTTTCCGATTACAGCAACGACAGCACCGATGCCCAGCTGGTGACAACTACTATTCAAGCAGATGACACGCCGGTTATGCGTGAACTAAAGGAGGATCTACTGCGCCAACAAGCGATGTATTTCAGTGAGAAGGCTGGCTTCTATCGCATGCAAAAGTTTCTAGTGGCGCAACAGGTGCTCAAGGAGCGGCTAGAAATTGAGAAGCTCAAATCTGGACAGCAACAGCAGCAAGTCAGCTAGTTGCTCACGCTTTATCATACTTCGTACGAACCCTACTGAACGTAGCTTTTAATCTTTAAGTGTAATGTATTTGTATTTAAAATTGTTATATAGACCATCTATCATAATTATTTAATCATAAATAACAAATTAATTGTGTGCAAGAGGCCCCGTCAAGCTCTCTACTTTAGTTGCTTTCAACAACGTCCATGTCCATTAAAAGCTTCTTCGTTTGCAGATCAATTAATCGCCGCTTAGCTCTTGCCAATTCGGCCATTTCATTGTAATATATTGTCTCCGCTTTCAGCTTTTCGTCCAATTGTGTGGTTGCTTCGCCCATTGAATTCGAATCGCCCGGATGTTCCATGGAATGGGCCATATTCGATGGATCATCCTCACAGTGGCGGGATACCATGACGTCAGAGTTGTCCACCACATATTCGTAGAAGGGTTCCTGTAGCGAGACCGATGTAAACTTCAAACAAAATGCAACCGCAGTACATTGATGACTTTCTATCTATGCCTTACCTCATCGTCCATGTGATCCGTGACCTTCTCAATAATGCTATCCACATCGTCAAAGTCGACCTTTTCCAATGGATCGCCCTGCCTGCGGTCCTCCGGTTGCATTAGCTCCTTCTTTGGCGATATCAGGCTGTGTTGAGAGTAGCTCAGGTTTTTCGACAAATTGTGATGCCTTCGGATAATGTGACGCATCAGATTGGACGATGAATGTTTTGAGGAGAGCGTTTTGCTGCAGTGCTTGCATTTGGCCATAAACTCAGATATGCGCACAAAGTGCGCCCACAGCTTATTGTTTTTACCAATGACTTTGTTGCGTTCGGTTTGCTGTTGCTCCTGACGCGCCTGGTTCTGGTTATCAATGATGGTGCGTACTGCAGTTTTGGTTTCCCGCTCACCCAAATTGGCATCCATGTGTACTTCAGGCTCTGGGTCAGGTGCGTTTAGTTCCTCTCTTAGCTCTGCGAGCATTTTGCCCTCGTCGCCGGCAAATATAGCTCGCGCTAATAATTTGTGATTCCTGATTAGGTGGCGCGTCAAGTTGGAGGAAGTGTGTTTAGACGAGAGCGTTTTATCGCAGTGCTTGCATTGCACAATATATTCGGTAAGGCGGTGAAAATGTGACAGCGCTTTGGCGTTTCGGCCTACCATGATTACATTTGGTGATTGTTGTTTTGATTTCACTAGTACGCGCAAAATCAACAAATTATGATGTTCCGAGTTGGCTTGGGTTAAATTTTTCTAGTTCATGTACAGTAGGGATGTCAGAAATTCATCGTTATATCGATTACGAATACGTATCGAACAAAAGTTACTGTGTTGTTGGAGGTTTTGGGCGGAACTGCTAGTTCTCATTTGGTGGAATTGACAATTCATAAATTTGATATTTTATCGATAACGTCGATATATGCACAATTTATTTCTTTGACAAATGGACAGTAATTCACTGAAAATGCAACTCTGCCAAAGTGCTGCCCATCGCTGTCAGTCGATAACCTAAAAATCTTTTGACACGAGGTTGTGCGTGTCTTTTCCTTTCTTTCTCGCTTTTTACTCGAACATGGGTGAGTCGTCGGCTAGTGCAAAATGTGTTAAAATATCAAGAAAATCGATTGTGATATGCATAAAAATAATAAAAAAGTGCGCAAATTACGTGCCAGTTGAAAATGCATATGTGTATTATTGAAAAATAATTAAACTGGGCATATATTTGGACATTTAAAGTCCGACAAGCAAGCAGTACCGCGTGCTATGGTTTTCTTGATATTTCAACTGGCTCCGATTTGATTGTCTTATTTTGATGTGTGTGCATTTACTCTTGCATTCTTAAAGGTATTAGCCGTGATAGTGCACACAAGCGTCGCGCCACTGGTGGCAAGCGCAAGTCGCTCCGCAAGAAGCGTAAGTTCGAGTTGGGCCGTCCTGCTGCCAATACCAAGGTGAGTTAATTACCTGCTGCCGCCATTGTTGTTTTTATATTTTGCAATAAAATGATGTTAACGCGTGTCAACTGTAAACGCACTCGACTTGTTCGTAGGCATTATCAGTGATGATTGAAGCATTATGTTCGGACTACTGATTGCATTTATATAGAAAAATAATGATTTTCATGAATTTGGTATACCTTGCTAATGTCTGGCAACTCTGTGTATGTATTTACAGCTTGGCGGATCCCGCGTGCACAAGGTGCGCACCCGTGGTGGTAACATCAAATTGCGCGCTCTGCGTTTGGAAACCGGCAATTTCGCCTGGGCTTCAGAGGGTGTTGCACGCAAGACCCGTATCGCCGATGTTGTCTACAATGCCTCCAACAACGAGTTGGTGCGCACCAAGACGCTGGTGAAGAACAGCATTGTGGTTATCGATGCGACGCCATTCCGTCAATGGTACGAGGCACACTATGTGCTGCCTCTGGGTCGCAAGCGTAACCCTAAGCACGTGCAGAAGGAAGATGAGAACGATGTGCTCACAAAGAAGCGCAGCGACAAGGTCATGAAGAAGTACCTGGAGCGCCAAAAGTACGGCAAGGTGGAGCAGGCTTTGGAGGATCAGTTCACATCTGGCCGTATCTTGGGTACGTATTTCCACAGTTCCAGCAAATAATAAGCTAAAAATCGATGATGTTAAACCCTTAGCGATCCAACTACTTTATTGTGTCAATCTTGTTTTAAGTGAGACGCAAGCCTGTTGGGCGTGATTTATGCTTGTCATAGTTACTCTGAGAGCTTTGCTTATCTATTTAATTAAGTATGATCTGTTTCGCATATTAATGTATTTCATTTGTTTTTATCAAACAGCTTGCGTTTCATCCCGCCCCGGCCAGTGCGGTCGCTCCGATGGTTACATTCTGGAAGGCAAGGAATTGGAATTCTACCTTAAGAAGATCAAGTCTAAGAAATAAACGCACTAGATAAGAATGCAAACCAACAACTGATTTGCAAACAGAAAACAAATAAAAACGGCTTGTTTTTTTTATAAGAAGAATCAATTAATACATTTTACTCTATCGACTGCGTGCGTGTGTGTGCGTGCGTTCTGCATAGAACTATGTTAAATAGTCGCTGTTTGTAATTTTTAATTGGTATTAAAAGAAAAGTGAATGGAATGTAGAATTCGTGGTAGTCGAGTTTGTACTATCGGATATTATTTGTGGGTTATTACAGTATATTTCCATTTTAATTCTTTAGAGTATGTATATGTATTATAAAGGAATTCACCCTAGATTCTTTTAATTTTCATTTTTACAGCTCCATCTTTAAAAAGTATTTGGATTCTAGAGAGATAAAAGTTAGGTCTTTGTAACTATATAGGAAATATTCTGAAATATTGGATTTATCATTTAAAAATTCAATGTTTGCTCAGTTTCGAATAGTTTTGATTAAAGCTAGCTTAGCGAATTAATACCTTTAGGAATATATTTAATTTTGGTGTGACTTAATATTACTATTAGTGAATTATTAACGTGAATGTTATTTATGGATTTAGAACCTGATCAGTTTTAAGCTCTATAGAATTTTACAGTCTACAAGTTTGAGTATTAGTAAAATTGAAACTATGCTAGAGAAACTTTTATAGGAACATCCCAGAAGTAATTGAATATAATTTTATTTTGAACCAATACACTTCGCTTTTAAAAGCTACTAAAACTACTCTGAATAAAGAGTTTTTGATTATCAGACCACGCGTCGCTTCATAATTGTAGCATACATTTTGAAATAGTTTTTAATGCAATCACATTTTCGAATGCAAATTACTTCTTTTGTTAGTCCATAAAACGGAAGTCAGTAATTTATATTGTAAGACGGAAATAAAAAACATTTTCAATTCATACTTAAATGAGAGATATATTTTTAAGGTATTTTTTTTCTTCACTTCCTTCTCTGCGAGCTGACTTCATACAGTGTAGTAAAAAAATATATTTATATATATACGTAATTAATAACAATAGTTCAAATATCATTCGTATTAGTTGGCTATAATTACATAACACAAGCAGGGCGACGCACAATGTCGTAAATCACGAAATCTACAACAAATATTCCATGTAATTTGTACTGCCAATGACAATTTTGGATTTGTTGCGGCCTAAAGAAAAATAACAAAACAATTTTGGAAGCAACAGTTAAATGCTGCTTATGCTGCTGCTGTTGTTGTTGTTGTTGCTGCTGCTATTTGTCTGCTGCTGCTTGGAGAACGGGACTCAGTGCTCGAAGAGCATGGTCATGACGGCCATCAAAGCAATGCCAAAGACCAGAGCCAGTAGCTGTTTGACAGACTCCTTGCGCTCATCCTCCTTCAAGAGATCTGGTAATACTGTAACCAATGAAATGTGCAGAAAACCGCCAGCGGTAAAGGGCATGATCCAGGATGTGCGCGCCTCTATAAAATCACAGACATTAACTAAGCTTAAGTTAAAGTCTTTGGCTGCTTACCCATGGCCGAGGTGACGCCCGAACCGCCAATGGCCACCAGGGCGCCCAAGAGACCAGCACCAGCTGTCAGTAGCTGTGCACGCGCCGCATCCCATCGACTGAAGCCGGAACGCAACAATATGGCAAAGTCGCCGACCTCGTGTGGAATTTCATGCACTGCAAATATAGAAACTGTTAGGCAATGCTGTGGATTGGGTACACCGACTTGAATACTGACGCAGTATGGCAAAAGTAGCCAGCACTCCGTGCCTGAAGGAGACCAGGAAGGAGCCAGCGACCGCTAGGCCGTGTGTGAAATTGTCAATGGAATTGGCCAATAGATTCAGATAGCCGGCCACTTTCCTGGGCTGCTCCTTTGGCTCCTTGATCTTCACTTCGCGCTCACGAAAATGACACATTTTGTCCACATCCTCAATGTCGCAGGCACCGCAGCTATCCATGGTCTCGCCCTCTGGCAGCTTGCCACCATGACGCCGAAGCAGACAGTTGGCAATCTCCACGCATTTCGGTTGGGGATTCTGCTCATCGGCGTTTGTGTAGCCTGAGAAGATCTTCTCGACAATGGTAAAGATGAGTATGCCGGAGAGCACCCACAAGCCGGAGCGCAGTGATGGATGACTATCGTTATCTGTAGCAAAATAATTTTTAATAACATTCAATTCTGATCATCTAGGGAATCCCAGAGATAAAACTCACTCTGATTATCGCCCTCCCAGGCCTCTGGCAGCAAGTGCAGAAAAACATCACCTAGAAGTCCGCCCACTGCAAAGCTAAGCAACACGCGTAAAAACTTTGACTCAGCAGCTATAAGATAAGAGATATACATAAGTATATTTGCATATATTGTATAATTGCTCCTACTCACGATCTTTATAGCCGTCCTTAGTCATTTTTTCGTCTGTGGGTATTATAAGCAAGGGAAATATACCGCTGAGTCCAATCACTACTGAGCCGAGCAGTGAGAAGACCCAGGGTGTATATTCCAGATTCTTGATATATTCGGGCACATATTGGTTGACCAGACTCGAGTAGATCACACCAAAATGCTCGTTGAAGAAGCTGCTGCTGTCATTCATCTTGATAGATTTTGTTTGCTAATTTGATCACGTGGACTGCGCGTCCGGTTTCTCCTCTTCTACTTAGGGGCGGGTGGTCACCGTCTTTGGTATTTGACTTTTTGGGCTCAGTCAATGCCTTGTCATGTCCTCCAATTGCAATGCTTGAGCCAATCGTATTGTATGCCGTTTTAGCTGCAAAGCCCAACAAAAAATAGGTTCAAATATGAAATTTTTTTTTAAAGGTATTATATAAACATTATGTTTAGGTGTTGAATTTTTTTTTTTATGATTTCACACGAGAATTTTGGAGTATTACTGTGATAGCAGGATTACACGTCAAGTTGAGTCAACGGCACGCTCGCCTAGCAACCGCTTTCTTGCCGTTAGCTCCTTCACTGATATTAGATTGATATACAAATCCCCCCATGGATAGCGCACAATGGACGTCACATCGATAAGCGTTTCTGGTGTAAGACTCAAGTATCACTCAGCTTAAATATGACCAGATAACTAGATAGCCGGGTGTAGAATGTGACAGCTGCCCATAAGTCGGGCGGCTCAAGAAAGATTTTGTCAACATTGTAAGGATTGTCATGGGGAAAAAAAAAGCACCACGACTTTAATTTGACCGTCGAAAATGACTTCTAACAATATTCTTTAGAGCTTTAAGATTCGTTTTAATGTCTATTGATTATTAGAATATGAATGATCGTTACTTTAGTTATCGTAGTTATCTAAGCTTAATATAAAGTTTTGATATTCCAACTTAGATATTAAGTTATTATAATGTATAAAATGAATATTTTTGCTGATTGACCATCAACGTTTGATAGTAAAGTTACTGGAAATTCTTCCCCTTAAGCCACGAATGAGTATCATACAGTCGTTGACGCCTGACTGTAAATTCTTACTTGTTTACAGACTACGCCTCTCATATATTTTTCAATATTTATGCAGAACACATCATAATATATCAAAACATTACATTAAACATTAACTTCACATTTATTTAAAATTTGAAAATCTCAAATAATTGTTTAGCTAATGTAAATATTTTTTTACGAGCTTATCTGAACTTAAATATAATAATAAAAGTTAACAACAGCTGTTAAGTTTGAGTTCTAAGCTTCAATTTATATTTTTCACTGCCAAACAAAATCGCATCAGAGTGTGAACACGTACGATACAAACTGCAAGATTAGGATTTGTAACTTCGATCTTTATAGTGCATACAATTTATATTATTAAGCAAACTAATTTGATTTATTAGAAAATCACGTCTTTGTTGCACATAGATAAACCTCAAGCCGTGTAATGCGATGCCTGCCCCATGGGCAACACAAAACACGTTCGGCTCAAGGAATGCGAACTGTATGAGTGCAAACGCACACAAAGCACTCGATAATTAGCGAGCTCACTTTGAGGAGAGTCGCAAGCTAAAACCCTTTCGAGAGAACACACAATCCGTACCGAAATCCTTAGTCGCGGGCAAGCAGAAGCAGACTGAACATGGGCGATATATGGGCAAGAGTTCGTTACCACTTGGGAACGTACGCAGATAAAGCTCTCTGTGGGTGATTTACGACCCACATTTTGACTTCACTTGAGTCTTCTATATATATGTATGTATATGTATATAAATACATATATTTGATTTCGATTTTGATTCGATGTGCGCAATGCAGCTTAAACTGTTCAAGCGATAAGATAGAATGGCAATACGAGCGTGTCGAAGATATAGACTCGATATAGACGACTTATGTGTGATTCGACCACAAAGCCCGTGTCCGAGCCGCAGCCGTAGTCGTAGACGTAGGAGCAGCAGTAGCAGCTGGCTCCAAGTGTCAGTGTGTTGTCAACCATGGATAAATCGCTGCAGAAACGTGTACAAATGGTGTCTGATTGATCACCCGCCGTTCGCCGAATGCTCTGGACACTTGAAAATATCACGTATTCGTTGACCAATGCCGCATTTAGGCATAGCAAATACATTTAAACGCTTTCGATTCAACAACAGCCAACTAGCAACTCTGCCGAGCAGCGCCATCAATGTCAACAGCATTAGCAGCGGCGTCGACAGCGACAGCGGCGGGGACTGCGACGGCGACGCTGACAGCGACTTCGTTAGTGTTTTCTTTTTGCTTATCAGCCAAAGTCAAGTAGTTAACTGTTTTTTGATTGTCTACTAGTTGTTATAGTGTCCACTATTAGAAAGTTTTGAAATAAAGGTATACTCGTTTTCTTAACCAATATGTGACAAGAATAAGCAAGCTTCGCCGATCTCTGAATATTGAACTACTACCTAAAGAACTGAAGAAATTTTAATAAAATTTTAAATTACTATTCGTAAAAATATTTATATTAAAAGAATTTTCCCTTTACATATCTGTGAATCCATATATTATTATGAATTCATTTAGAATTCATACTACAGAGTAACTGCTAGTCGATCATTGCTAACATTCGCACGCCCAATTTACTTGTGATTTATATGCTAATCAACGACGACGCACTTTGGTAAATTTGGTAAATAAATGCATTTGTTGTTGATAGTTAGCTAACTATTGGCTGCGGTTCCCTTATCAAAGAATAACCAAGCGCTATAAAAAGAAAAACAATTAATTATCTGGAGAAAAATGGAATGGAGAAATGTAAAACCTGACTTAAGTGTTCCTTTGCTCCAAGGTTACCACAGTATCTATTGTGAATAATTCTGCGAATGTGTAACGCATTTCAATAGACATATCAGACCACATAGTCTATAAATATATATTACACTGCACTGGCCAATAAATATATAATATAACTGATTCATCACAGTGGAGTGGAGCTCATGTACATATGTACGAACATATAAGTCGTACCGATCGGGCTGTTGTATATACTATACGTAGTGGCTATGCGAACTATCATTTGAAATTTCTTCTGGAAGTACGAAATAGTCCATGTATACATGTATACATATATATATATATGTAGATAGATATATGCACATATTTAAAATAGAACAAAATAGTAGAACATTACATTACATATGTATCTCATTCGAAAGAAGCTGGGACTGTTGAAATTCATATTTGCTTATTTGTTATGCTATCGAGCCATTTGTTTAAACAAGCTAACACGAAGAACAAGGTAAACTTGGTTAAGACCTGTATTTTGTTCTGCTGTTGGTTTGTATTTTCTATAGCTTAAGGCAAAAACTGTAGCACATACCCAACGAAAAAAAAAAAAAAATGAGTACGAAATATACTAGGCGTATACTAGGAGTACAGTGCTTGATATCACAGTAAAGACTTTATATTACGCACAAACAAAAACACATTTCAATTATAGAAATTGAAATTCACTCACACACATGTACATGCCTACAACTATACACATCTTTAAAGATATGGAGGACAAAAGCCTCAGATATTTGATGTATGTGTGTTTGTAGATTTGCCTCTCGACACAAGTTTACGAAATATCGCGCCGCCGGCTACGTTCGCCGGTGCTTTGAACTTGATTTGCGGCATCCGTGTATCTGTATATACATATGTGTATATATTTTTATACATACGTATATATTTTCGTTTGTGTATTTGTTTATCTTTCACCTCAAACACAATACCCTGCGCTCTGGCACTCACTTGACTTGCGGCTAATGCGGAAATTTATGCTCCCAGCTTTAGAATTTCGTTTTTGCTTTATTTATTCGCGCGTCTTATCGCGCCAGCGACTTGGCTCGTTCTGACGGCTGTGGCGCGATGCCTGGGCTTTTAAATATCCCAGCAGCAGCTGACTGTGCAACAGTTACAGAATTCTATTTGGAGAGCGGGGGTTTCAACTGTCACACAGATGATTCAATTACAATCGACTTGTTCTTGTTGTTGTATTGAATTTTATTGAGCTTTTAAATGGCGCAGATCATTTTGCGCGCTGCACTAAACTTGGAAATAGTAGTTGGAAGAGAGCCAGAGACAGCGACCGAATGCCAGAGAGAAAAAGACTCAGACACAGGCATTAAGAGAGCCAGATGTGCTATAATATAACAAGCATAAACAGGTTGTCAATGATAATACACCCTAAGATGATTTACAATGTTTCAAAATTGAGATCCACAGTTGCTAAATTTTTAGAAAAGGTTTGTAATATAGTATATGAAGACTGATATGATTATCAAGAAGCCGAGTTTTTTAATGATTGCATTTTGCAAGACAAAAGAGAGAACGTAATGCTGATAAGATTGTACCCGTTGATCCCGTTGAAGAGATCTATTAAAATCATAGATCCAACGAAATATTTCTTACTCTAATCAATAAATAAGTCACCGACAAATGGCTTTTCTATTAACAACTATTACAAATCCATGCATATACAGAAAGCAACGATGTTTCCTCTGTGATGCATACTATGTACCCCGCACAAGTATGTATGCATGTCAACTTGTAACTACTTACAGTAAAAAGTCAAAAACTGTTATACTATACTAGACTTCCATTGACTATGTGTCATAATGTCGAACGGAAGAGATGATTTGATCACAGGTTATTAGCACTTCAGTATGTACACAGACACAAAAGCAAACACATATGTATGTGCTTGCAAAAACAAACACATATGTATGTGCTTGCAAAAACAAACACAACACTGAGTGACGATATGATAAGAGCAAGACCGTGTGAGTCGATCAGCTGTGCCCAGAGCGTGGGTGAGAACGATGCAGCGAGTTCAAGACAGTGAGAGTTGGCATCGTTGAGAGCAAAAGTGGAGAAACATGGCGTCGATTAGCGCGCTCTCTTACATTCATGTCATATGTGCATTCACACACACACATTCATAGTGATACATGAATGTACGTACATACAAATGCTTATGCATAACGAGTTGTGAAATTTGAAGTATTTTACATTTATTCACAAAATCATGAAACAATATATTTTATTTGCAAGCTGGTTTTTGAGCATTAACAGCGCAATAGCAACGAATAACCTGTTTATCACACATCAATCTTACTGTTACGATTTTTGTAGTTGTTGTGCGTGTTATCGCCTTGATTATGGTCAACAAAGCAATTCGGCCATATTTGAGTGGCACTCACTGCACAGATTCTCAATTAATTTAGTGCTGTTTGCAAAAATAAACAAATATGGCGGTAGCTCTGACGTTATCGAAACTTCAGACTGCAAAGCACACAAACGTATCCATATATATTTTTTATGTTTTGTGGGTGTAGGTTAGTTACACTTCCGCCTTACCGTGCTTGTTGTTTTATTGATTGCAGTTTACACTATCGCAGTGGTTGCGTTATTCCACTGTATTACATTAACAAACGAAATTTTTGCTTAACATTTGATCGTCGGAACTTCTCTGTTGTTCTTTATTCTAGGTAAATGCGATAAATATGCTTAATGCGCAGTATCGATCTTTGAATGACGCTGTTCTTGTCCGGGCACTAATCTGCACTGAGACTGAGTAACGGGACGTTTATTCGAGATGCTTACAAGTTTAAAGTTACTTTATTATGTGTAACACTTTATATACGATTTATTGGACTTTCGATCGAGTTGAAGTTTCTGAGAATTGTTATCAAGCCCCGTTAGTGCGTAGCCGACTGTTACAGCTGAAATGAAACAGGTACGGGTAAGATACGTGCTTTTGTTTTGTTTTGGGCCGTGCGAAAAAACAAACATGGCTGCAGAGCACAGCTGTTTGCAGATAAGCACAATATATCGATAACAAAAACTGCGATAGTTGACATTTTCTTGGTGCAAGCGGTCATACTATTGGTGTAGCATGCAACAGCTGTTGCAGTTGTTCCACTTTGGCTGTCGCGCTTTGTTTATGTTTGTTTTTAGTGTGCAATAAATAATAATAAAACGAAAATACCACTTTCCACCATTCTTAATTAGCTGAAAATTAGTTAGTGTGTGTGTTGGCATATGAAATAGTGTGCTGTGCAATGAGTACAGACGATTTATTGGTGCGTCATGAAAAAAGCGACGATTCAACGTCAACATCAACGTCGCCACCGACGCCAACGCCAACGCCTGTGCCCAGCTCCTCATTGAGTCGCCTGCGTAACACATTCCGCCGTACCGAAAGCATCTCTAACCATATTATTAACCAGATTTCTACGCAATTCTCAAATGCCGCTGCTGCAGCGGCCGCCTCAGAGATTATAGATGGCACAACCACATACCCTGAGATGCCACAAACTGTGGCTACAGTCTCCAACACGCCAACAGCAAGTGCGCAGCCCAAGCGCAAAAAGCCCGGTGAGTGCAGTTAATATACTACAGTGAAAAGTAGCAGGAGTGAACAGCTCAACTGCTTTCCCTTATCACAAACAAATGCATATCTTCCGTTAGACCAAAGTCTTATTAATTAGATTATATATCCGGCGAAAGTTTTTAAAGCATTGATTAAAAGGCTTTTCCTAACGAATTCATTAACACTTTTTCCACAGAGAAATTCGTTATAAATAAAATATTTTATATTTTACTTACATTGAAATAAAATCATTCAATATCTATTTACATTTCATATTTCAACTAATACTATATGAGTTATAATAAACATTAAAAAGTGTTTAGCTTTAAGATAGTGTTCACTGTACTTACTTGTTTATAACGCGAGTCATATGATTTTAAAAATATGCCAAAGTTTGAACCTTGAACCACCCTAACGAAAGCTCCTGCAAAGCTGCACTGCTAATACCCAGTTGACAAATCAATAGAAGCTTTTGCTTCAGTCTTAGTCAACGCAACAACAGGATAACTGAAAGCAGCGTCTTAAAAGAATACCAACTTAAACTTTATTATTATTTACTACGTTTTATTAAGTATATATTTATATAATAATAAATATATAAAGTGCTTGTTAACGAACTGTGCTAAGCAACTGCTGAAAACCCTCAAGCCGAACTCAGCAACTTTTTCACGTATGTTGTGTGCTGCAAGCTTTTTGCATGTATTGTACAATGCGCTCATTTTTGGCTATCTATTTTTATGTGGGCACTTGTGAAGTAAGTGCAACGCCATGCGTGGACTAGTCGAGGAGACAAAGAAGTCAAAGCTTGGCACCACCAACACCACTACCAACAACAACAACAACAACAACAACAATAACAACAGCAGCAGCAGCAGCATGGGTAGTCGTGGCAAGGCTGCGCTTACCAGCGCCAGCTCATCGCGACCCTCGAAGGGTGGTGGGATTAAAACGCCCACAACAACAACAGCAGCAGCCGCCGGTGTTGCAGGCAAAAAATTGCCACAAGTCGGCGCAAAGTCCAAGGCAGCTGCAACAGCAACCACCAGCAGTAGCAGCACAGCGGGTAGCTCCAGCGCCAAGCCAGGCATGGCAAAAGCAGTTAAAGCTTCGAATCCAACCCCACATGCGTCGCATGCAGCAGCAGTGGCTGTTGCAGCCGCAGCCGCAACCGCACCTGCACCTGCAACACCCCAACAAGCGCCGATGCAGCCGTACAACAACAACAGCAGCAGCAGCAGCAACAACAGCAACAGCAGCACCCTAATTACCTTGCCAAAGGCATCGCATGCGAATACTAGTGAGGAGCTGGCCGGAGGCGTCCAGGACACCATATATCTTTGCAATTTTCGCGTGTCTGTGGATGGGGAATGGCTGTGCCTCAAGGAGCTGCAGGACATCGATGTGGCCAACGGACAGAAGACAGTTGGTGGTGGCGCAGCTCTGCTAAATACTGCAGCATCAGCTGCTGGCGTTGGCGGTGGCGGTGGTAATGGTGGTGTCACTGGAGTTGGTGGTGCGGGTCATGTGCAACATCGCACGCAATCGCAGCAGCAGCATCATCAATTCGGGCAGCGTAACAGCAAACGCTTTTCGGGCCTATCGACGGGCAGCGCGGGAGGATTCGAGGATAACGGTATTATGGCAATTGAAAATCTAATCGGTCGTCGTCTGTGCGACGTTGTCGGCTCAAATGCACTTGCAACCGCACCGCAACAGCACCACAAAAATGTGGGCCTCATCGGTGGCACGTTAGCTGAGTGGTCGCATCTCTGTAGGTTGCTTCTTGCCGTCTCTATCTCTCTCACACACACACACTCACCTACTCTATCTATCTCTCTCTTTCGGTCTTTCTCTCTCTGAGTTCATTTGCAAGCGTTATAGTTTCTGTTATGTTAACTTTGTAATTGTGTAGCTGTTATGTTAAGTTTTCTGTTATGTTCAACATATGAATCTTAAATGTTCGCTGCTACGCTTATCCTATTGAGTAGAAGTGACTGGACTAACTAACTAACGGCAAATTTAAATGCTTAGCCATAGCAGCATTGGCTGTGCCTCAATTTTGATTGGGTATTAAAAGCTGAACATGCAATATTAAATATTAGTCCTCATGTTTACATCTAACATTTCTTGTCATCCAGTTATCACTGTACTTTGACACTTTTCCTGCTGTAAACTCACTAAGCATAAGCGTAGCACTAGCTAATCTTGATTTGGCATGCATTATTGCATTATTATATTACACTCTTGCTTTGCACTCGCTATTGTCTGTGCCACGTCGAGTGGGCCCCAATCTTGGATCTCGTTTCGTAACTAGCAGCATGGCATCGTCGACTCGAACGTGCATTGAACTTAAATAAGTAAATATATTTGTAGAAAAATAATGAAACACATTGGCGAAAAGGAAAAACGGTCGACAGTCGACAGGCGTCAGGCAAATGCTCTTTACTTGCTGTCATCGTCGTAGGTCGTTTCCCAGCTGGCACCGTTTTTGGATGACTGTTTAGAAATAGTGTCTAAGATTTAGCATAACCAAGTCTCAATCGGGACTTACCTCGCCCACCGAAGAAGAAGGTGTTTGAGACTTGACTTCCACACTTTCAGTCTGCGCTTCGAGTCTATTGGCCGTCGCACTACTTGGCTCGACTTTATGGTTGAAGAGATTCTCTGCAATGGATGACTTCAACTTTAGGTTTCATTTAATGTCTCTCGCCACTTACCTGAAGCTTTCTTTTCACTGTACAGTTCTTTTTCATGCACACTCTCTCTTCTTTGGCTCGTTCTGCTCCCGCTGGGTCGTATCTGCTTTCGGGAGGAATTAGTTAGATTTTCTTTGAGTTGCTTACTACTTACTTCCTTCTCTTTTGTCCTCTCTCGTGTTCTCTCTCTCACGATCTCTGGCTCGATATCTCCAACCCTGTCTCTCTCTTGGCAGTAGGCCAGCCCGCCCTTTTGTCTTTTATGATTAGATTTGTTTACAAGGCGGTCGTCTGTTGCTTCCAATTTGGGCTCCGAGTCCAGCTGACTCGACATCTTTTTCTGTTTCTGTTCTCTGTGCTTTTTGGACTTATCATTTTGCAACTCTTCTTTCTGCTCTTCACTCCGGTCTCGATGCTGATCTCGTTCACGCAGCAGATGTTGGCTCGGCCGTTTGCTGGCGACTTTGGGGTGTTTCTTCTCCGATAGGCCGTAAAAGGTATTGTGTTTCTCTCGATTCGACTTGATGGGTAGAAACTTTCTTGGAAATTGGCAAACTAACGAAGATGTCGAAGAAGAATCACTGCGATAAAAATTACCTGAAGTGTAGATAAAATATTATTCAGATTATTTGTTTATTTTATCAGAAAGTTAGTTTAATGGGCAGATTCTCTACTCAAATAGATTAGATGAACTTACCATCGTCCGTTCCACGCAGCATTTGATTTTCCATGTCATTTAGGTTCCTTGGACCCCGTTGATTGCTCACCACGCTCATGCCAGGAGTCATATTGGAGCCCCTAAGAGTGGTAGTCATAACAAGCGACTTTTTAGCAACTTTATCTGCGCCTCTCCTAAAAATTGAACTCCAGGTACTCTGCTTGGAATCATTTTTAATGGGTGGAGTTTCGTAAAAGTGTTCGACAGGCTTTGCGTCGGATTCTTTAATGATAACAGGCGAGCTGGAATCCTTTTTAACGTCTGGCTTACTTCGGCTCTTGTGCAGGCAACAACAGATAAGCAGCAACAGCAGCAGGAAGATCAGCGCCAGAAAGGCTGCCACATAGCCCACATAGCTCTCGTCGTCGCAATCGATGCATTCCTCGCCCTGTGGATTCTTATCCGTTTTGACAAACTGCGTATCCGCACTGCTTTCGTTCTGATGTTGGCGCGGCGTGCGGGTCTGTTTGCGCCTTGCCGGCGTGTTCTTCGTTCTATTTTGGCCTCTGACATTGCTATTCTTATTGCTTTTATTGTTAGGCTTTTTGCTTTTATCCGCCGAGTCGTGCGCCTCTTCTTCGGGCAGAGTTTCGTAGTCCTTCAAGTCGCCTAAGTCCGGCAATTGCTCGTCCTCCTGCGAGGAGCGATCGTCTGCAGAAGTAGGGCAGGTCAGTGCCTCATAGACTTGCAGGACACCGCCTAGACCCGGATAGAACAACTCATCCCGGTAGTGCAGCTGCAGATTCTCACGTATCCAAATCCTTAGCTTCTGATTGTAAACCTTCGGACTCATGCCCTGGAATCGATAGCAATTGTTTACCGTCTTGTAGAACTTGACCAGGATGGAAGCGCTGTCCGGTGAGCGCAGATTGTAAATGCGTCGGTGCTTGAAGGGCAAAAAGATGTTGGTCAAGTAGCCATTGTTATCCTCCACCTCAAGGTGCGGCAATGGCACAATCATCATCTCGTTCTGCGCATCATCATTGGCACATCCATGATCCAGCAGAGCACAGTTGGAGGCGTCCATCTCCGTGCTCTGCGAATTGTTGAGCTTAATGGGCTTAATGTGAACGTTCTTTAGCCGGGCGAGTATGTCCTGCTCGGGCATCTTCCAGCCGTTGCCGTTGGTGTTGAGCACCGTCAGACACTCGCGGTAGAGCGCCACCAGACGCTGCACAGTGCACAGCTTGAGGCGGCCAGCATAATAGGACACCTGTGCCACCGGCACCATGTAGTACCTCAGATATCCACCCAAAGCATCGTAGAAGGCGCGCTGCATCAGGCGACGCGACTCTATATCCGACACTTGCTTGAGAACGTGATTGATGGTATTGAAGTACTTCATTAAGCTATAGACAACGCTATCGGCGATCAGGGTATTCGGATAGAACTTGGGCACCAGCAGCTCAAAGTCCCGGCGTGCCGATATGAGTGCAATGTCCTCTGTAGAAAAGCAATGCTTGGGATACCCGCCAAACAGATTGCTGCCCATGAAGTGCTCCATCCCACTTTCACATTTCTGGACGACGTTGCTGTCGCACTGTTGTTGCGGCAGGGACGACGATGTGGACGGGGGCTGCACTTGCTCCCCTGGTTCCAAGTCGATAGCGGCCTCCGTGTGCTGGGGCGAGGCGGCTGCATAATATGTGGCTCGGATGCGATCCTCAATGCTGCGCAATCGGTCATTCTTCTCAAACGGATTGTCCTTGAGCCGTCCCACCTTGTCCTGGCCCAAGTCATCATTGGTGTTCAGCTTATTTCTGTACTGATGCAGCTCCGAGCTGAGCATCGATTGCAGCGTCAGCTCGTTCTGAAAATCGTTCGGCACCTCCAGCGTGGACAGATCGATGCTGTAGATGGGACAACCGCCGGGCGCCAGGAGCAACAGCAACGAGAACAGCACACAAATGTTCATAATAATAATTTCTTTATTGAGTTTTCACATTGTTTTTTTTTCCCTCTGAAACTTAATGCGAAGGCACGTGACAGCATTTCGGAGTGTAGCTAGCAGTAGTCAGCCAATCAGCGGCAGAACGTAAAGAGCTGACACTAAAGCCCAACTCTCGGACTCTTCCCTTGCAGCACGCGACACGGCCGAGATTGAGCGCAGCAATTTGGTCAACATCTGCAAGCTGGTGGTGAAGGAGCTGCTGGAGCAATCTTTGCGCTATGGCCGCATGCTCGACTCGGACCATTTGCCGCTGCAGCATTTCTTCATTGTCATCGAGCATGTGCTGGGCCATGGCCTGCGACCCAAGAAGGGTCTGTTGGGGCCGCGCAAAGAGCTGTGGGATCTGCTGCAAAGCGTCGAAAACTATTGCCCCGAGGCGCAAGATATTACGGCCAGTGTTCGGGACTTGCCCACGGTGCGCACACACATAGGACGGGCAAGGGCCTGGCTGCGCATTGCCCTGATGCAAAAGAAGCTATCCGATTACCTGCAGGCGCTGATCGAGCATCGCGAGGACTCACTGTTCGAATACTACGAGCCGCACGCTCTGATGATGAGCGACGAGGTGGGTTTCGCTCCGTTGCATTCTGCTCTGTCTGCTGACTCCTGCAACCCATTGCCTTTTAGATTGTTGTCATAATGGGCATCTTGGTGGGCCTGAACGTCATCGATTGCAATCTATGCGTCAAGGAGGAGGATCTCGACTCGCAACAGGGCGTCATTGACTTTTCGCTATATCTACGCTCCAGCTCTCGCAATGCTGAGGTTAATGAGGATTCGAATGCGCCAGTCGCTCAACTAGATGACGCCGGACAGGGCAATATGATTGCCGTGCTGGACCAGAAGAACTATATCGAGGAGCTCAATCGGCATTTGAAGTGCGTTGGCCGCAGCTCAAATAGTTCTGCTCAAGAAGTTTCTCAAGCGTTCATCTTTTCACAGCGCCACTGTGGGCAACCTGCAGGCCAAGGTCGAGTCCCTGACCACCACCAATGCCCTGATGAAGGAGGATCTGGCCATAGCGCGCAACAGTTTGCTCGCCCTGCAGGCCGAGAATCAAGCCATGCGTCAGTCGGCCAGCCAGCAGGCAGCTCTAAATCAGTCGGACAACAGCTCCACAGGCAGCGGCAGCGATAAGGACAAGGACAAAGAAAAGGACAAAGTAGATGGCCTCAGCACGCAGCTGGCGGAGGAGCGCAAGCGCTGTACCGAGCTGGAAAAAGAGCTCAATCTGCAGATCTCGCTCAAGGCGGAGTCCGATATGGCCATGAAGTTGCTGGAGAAGGACATTCACGAGAAGCAGGACACGATTGTCTCGCTGCGTCGTCAGCTGGACGACATTAAGCAAATCAATCTGGAGATGTATCGCAAGCTGCAGGTGCGTATGGACAAGGACAGACGATGGACACAGCTAGAAATGGTCGCGTGAGAGAAAGTATGGGAAACACTTTTAGGGAGTTACATTGTATTGAAATAGGGGAGATGAGGAGCAGTAGAAGTAAATGCAGACTTAGCCATGCAAGCAGGAAATATAATGTATAGATATTTTTTCGGCAAGTTGAGGATTCATTAATGGTTAATAGCCAGGATTAAGGATATCTTATGAAAAGTTAACTAAAGTGAAAATATGTATACTTTGAAGCGGGATAAACAAATTGGATCTATCAGGCTTTATAGCCCATATTGACTACTTCAGAAGAACTTAAACTTGTATGAAATGTTAAATGGGTTAACTCTATTCTAACTTGATATGATGACGATACTCGTTGGGTTAACTTATCATTATGTACGGTGCCCAAAATTGCTTATCCAACAGGGAAACTCAATTCTAACTTGATGTGATCTATGATCTCTTTGGGGTAACTTATCTAGTTTTAGGGCTTCCCAAATTTCTTTCTCGCGACCATCTCACCAACTAAACACAAACACACATACGTACACATAAGAATCATCTCACATTCATTAAGCTAAATCCATTTGGTCGACAGTCATTCGTTTCTTTTGTATTTTTCTTCGGTTTTGAAATGTAAAAATTCAGTAATTCAATTCATACTCCCCCAATCGTAATGTGGCTGTTGATAAGACGCACAAATCATATCGAATCAAATCAAATCAAATCAGATAATATCCCGTACTCCAACCCGTTTGAAATTCAATTAGGAATGTGAAGATGAACTCACACAGAAGGGCGAGATGGTCTCTCGTTTGCAAACGAAAGCCTCACAAATTGGTAACATTTTACAATCGCTAGAAAAGAAATACGAGTCCAAGCTCGTCGACCAGCAGCAGGTGAGCGCCAGCTGTGGCGGCGATCGATCGCCCAACACGCGTCGCCAGCAGAATCTCCAGAAGTTCGAGGCACTCACCAAGAAGCACAAACAGGACACCGGGCCGCCCCTGAAGCGACTGCACCTCAAGATGGACGGCATACCGCCCTTCAATCCCAACAATTATCGCAAGTCGCCGGCGGGTTCAGCCTCGCTGCAATCGCAAGCGGATCAGGCAACAGCCAAGACGCCAACCTCTGCCAAATCCCTGAACGATGAGCTAGCCGAGGCGGCGGCTGCAGTCACTCAACATTTCAAGGGCGGGGGCGATGGCTCACGCAGCGACTACGCCTTGTCCCGGGAACAGGAGGCAACAGGACAGGGAGACGACTAGACAAGCGACAAACTACAGTTTATTTAATTGTTAAGAAGGCATTTACTTAATATACTCGTACTACAGTGATCGCTCACTAAACCAAACAGTGCAATTCGATTCAGTTCGAGACAGGATTTTATTTTTTAAGATTTTAACTGAGGATGGCTCTTATATATGATTTAAGGATTGATAATCCTCTCTGACTCTAAGCTGCAATATTATGAAAATAAGTTGTGATGTATAATATGTAATTCATATACTCTGACTGATTGATTGACTAATGATCTCCGCTATTTATGTATTTCTACATTATTTCTATATTTTATTTATTTATTTTTATGATTAGTTTGACAGATTGATTGAGTGACTGACTAACGATCAACACTTTTCTATATATATTTCTCTATATATAAAATCTTCATTAGATTATATAAATGCTTTCATTGATAGACTGACAATCCAAGTTTTATATAAGCTGGAAGAGTCAAAAGTCATTTCAGCAATTTACTTAAAGATCTCTCAACTTATAATTCAATTGCAATTTAATTACACAACTTTTTGTTTAGATTTAGTCTCATTGATTGATTGACTGATTGTTATCCTACGCTAAGACTCTTCTCTTATGTCTGCTTTAGTATGCTTTTAGTATGTTCCAATTAACGAGCGATCACTGTATTCAATCTATTGTATGCTAGGACAACTAGAAACCATTCAAGTACCAAATGTTGAGCTCTACAAGTCCCAAAAAATATATAAATATACAAATAAGTAGAGCTGTTAACCTAACTGTAACTCAAAGTGCAACGGCTTAATATGTTTATATTTTAGAACGAATAAAAATGTATGTTGCCTTTAGTACTAGTACTATATATATAAATATATATAGTAACAAAGTCATATGTTATAGATATATATAAACCTATAATATATAGTGCTAACAAGTTGTTGAAGATTCTGCAAATTATAAGCTATTAGCTGAATGCCCCAAGCCCCCTCTTAAGTATTCCAAGTATTCCCAATTGCATCGTGATGTATAGAGCTGATTTATTACATATATTATATCAAATATATTCAAACGATATGCATATAAATACTCTCTAAATGCTTTAAATTTAATTTAAATATACTGAAAATCAAGTCAATCTAGTCAAATAACTATGTAATTATATAAATATGTATGTATGTATCTATACATGTTAATGGGACTATATATACACACATACAAATCCACACAAACACACACGCTAATACATATATATATATATATATACAAAGAAAATAAAACTTATCCTAACTGGAGCCTTTCATTTCGTACTAACCCAAATATAATCGCATTATATGACGAACGTCTTGGAAGAACTGGTACAAAAGATTCTCGCCTTTTTTGTCTTTATCAACAGGATTGCAATGCCTCGCTGACCCACAAAACGGAGCTAATGAGCAAACTAGAGTGCCAAAAGGAAGATATGGCCAGCACAATTGAACAATTAGAGAAAAAGTAAGAACTGAATCGAGTTTGTTGATAGATGATATTTGGTTTGGAACGACTTGCATTGATTGAAGGGAAGCTTTATAGGGGAGATAGAAAGACAATATTTGAGTTGACCTAATGATCATGATATTTGGGAATATTTTGAATTACGTGTTTCGCTGAATAAAAAATATGAGCTGTTTTTGTCACGTTCAATTGTGATTATAGGGGTCCATATTTCATCAAATTAGAGTGCAATCTGCTATTTCTGAGCTTGATTAATATAAAAAGTAAAAAATATGTGCTTTTCTAACAAACATATTTTTTATTCACATATCTATAAATATAGTATTGTAATGTTAATCTTCATATTCCTTATGGTTATAGGGCAGATTTCCATAATATAACTTGTTCTTGGACGCAAAAGCATTACTCGATGATCTAGAGACATGCTTTAGCTCTTCTTCTTAGATTGGTTACTGAGAGAATAGTTGCATGAAAAGCGATAATAGAAGAGAGATAAGCATAATGGCTTGAGTGTTGATCATGAACTAGACTGTATTTATATAGTTCTATCGGCTCTATATTCTATATTTCCTAACAATATTTTTAAAAGTGTATCAAATAGTAAGTAAGTCGTTTTATAGTGAGGTACTCATTTAAAGGATATTAAACTTTAAGAAAGAAATGTAGAAAAATTCAAATAAATTAGATCATCTAGTTTTCAGACTACCCTCGTACTATACATTCTCGACCATAAATACGCCCCTTAAATTGAACGGCATTAAAAGTTAAATTTTTGCTATCCGCAGATGGACTAATGATAAAAGCAACTTGGGCGAGATATTGAAGACCACCTCTCAAACGCTGTCCACGCAGGTTAGCGCTTGCGAGGAACGAGCGGCACGGGCAGAGGCTGAGACGCGCATTGAGCGGGAGTGGCGCGTATCCTTGCAGGAGAAGGAGCTGAAGCTGAAGGAGAAGATATCGACGATGCAAATGTGCGTGAAGGAGCTAAATGAGGAGAGGCAGAAGAACGAGAAGTTGAAGCTGGACTTGGAGAAGGTGCGCGCCCAATGGTCGGAGGCGCAGACAACGCTCGAGGAGCTGGGCATACAGCTGAGCGTTAGTAAGCTGAAAATCTCCGAGTTCCAGGACAACGAGCGACGTCAGCTGCGGCAGCAGCAGCAGCTGCTCTCCGGCTCGTCGCAGTCGTTGCAGCAGACGCTGCCGGAGAATCCAGTCAGCTCACCAGGCATATGGGCGCCCGATTCCATTGCCACTCACTGCACGGCCTGCACCAGGGAGTTCAATTTGACGCGTCGGAAGCATCATTGTCGCAGCTGCGGCGAGATCTTCTGCAAGACCTGCTCCGAGCATACCCTGCCTTTGCTCAACGCACAGGGTCAACCCGGCCGGCCGGTGCGTGTGTGCAATGCGTGCTATGCGGCTACCTCTGGCAAGTGATCCACAACGAAGCTCATTTCCATACATAATATTAAACAATTGTAGGCTATTTACGTATAGTTTGTTATAAACAAATATTGTTCATCATCATTTTTTGTGGTAAACAGCGCTTGCGTGTTTGCAATAAATGTATTTTTATATTCCTATCATTTGAGATGAAGCCTTATTAAGTGTTAAATAAATGCACACAATACATTACATGTTTTTTATTTGAATTTTCGAAACAGGTTTTGTGTCTGTTAACTTAACAGTAGTTGACTGGTCACCTTGCATTTAGGTATTTTTGTGGTATTTATTGTGTTATCGATAGTGGATAAGCTGCTGCAATTGATGACAGTGCAGCCCTTTGAGGTGGGCGGTAAAATTTAAATTTACATTCGGCATTTGTTTCTTGAAGTCTGAATTTCGTTCTGAATATTATCATATACAAATAAAATATCAAACAAGTATGCGATTTTTAAATATCTTTCTAAGCAAATTCATTGCACACTCTATATTTGATATCTCCTAATAATACTGATTGTACACCTGTTCTTAAACAGCTCAGTACCCGTCATAGACCTGTTCATATATGTATATAGTCAAAATTGTGTTCAAACAAACTCCCGGAAAAGAAACAACTGCAATTCGGACGCATTTTTTGTCAGTCAATTTGTCGGCCATTATATAAAACTAGAGGACGCAGTTTTTTAATTAAATCAAATAAAATTCACAGCTGGCTGCATACAAAATGAAAAAAAAAAAGACTACATAAATACAGCCCGCGGGTCTATAAAAGTTGTCATTACCATAACTTCAGAGTGAGAGAGAGCGAGCAGTATATAGGTATTAATAAACCCGATATTTGGCTGGGAACCACACGCCCTGACTCAGGCCCAGGCATATGGACAGATTCGAGAGCTCAACTAATAACAGTTGCCCTCAACGAGCTGTCAAAGGGGCGTTTATTTCCACGCAATTGTAGTTGTAGTTGTTGTCGTTGCTTTCACACATAACTGAGGGTTAGATAACATAACTGGGCGGGTTGCTCAACTATGCAGCTATGGGGGTTAACTCATCGAAATCGGAAACAGTGTTCGCTGGCACAAAAAAAGATGAAAACAATGGCTGGGAAGGTACTCAACAAAATTACATAGTATATTATATAGATGCCATTTGAAAAAATACAAATTAGATTAAATGACAAATGAAATTGGAGAGAAAATGTACAAAGGATAACAAATATATAAATAGATGTATGTACGAGCATATATATATAGATGGAAGTTCTTAATGTTTTCAAAATTTTCACTTTAACTCAGGTATTTTAATATTAGAATATATACATATATGTATATATATATATATATATATATATATATATATATATATATATATATATATATATATATATATATATATATATATATATATATATATATATATATATATATATATATATATATATATATATACTTTTACACATTATGATTTCTCTCCCATATCTATCTTGTTTAATCCAATATGTGTGTGTTTTATTTTTTTCAACGAAGTTCTTATAAGTTCTATGAAATTATTCTTTTGGTTTAATGATCAATCTGCCAATCAATCAATCAATTAGCATACATAAAAATTGTTCTAGAATTATTAATTTATTTTAAAGAATTTCTTTCAATTATAGTTAATCTGGTTTTTATTATTCTAATTATATTTTGTAATAAAACATGCCACTAATTTTTCAAAGTGTACACAGAACTGAGCGAAACTGAGGCGTTGCCTCTTCTTCTGATTATTATTACAAAAATTATACATCCACGGCACAATATGTTGCGTTGTTATTATATGAATTAGCAGAGAGGCAGAGTGTCATAGCCAAAGTCAGGCCCGTTGGCTGCCTGAAGAACTGTGTGACCTTGTTATGGGCACAATGTGACCAGCTCAAATTACGCAACACAAGCAGCATAATCTGCTCAGCTAACGAGTCCTTAAATGGTGCCCATTTATGTTCGGGTGTCAAATGGAAATCGCAATATTGTATAAATATATATATGTGTGTGTGTCTCTGTGTGTGTGAGTGCGAATGGTTCCTTGAGCCATGTCACGGCAATTGTTTGAAATCGGAGCATCCGGCTTGCCTGTTTGATTATTTGCCAAGTCTGTGCCAAATTCCAAAGAAATGCTTTTGGCGTGTGTCAAATGACGAACAGGATATTGATACTCTATATATACACCTACCTATGTGTATGTGTATGTATGTATGTGTGTGTGTGCTATAATTCGATTACAATTACAAATAAAATCAAAGATCTGCATATGACACCAGCAAATCTTGAAATTCTGATGAACACAAAAACTTTGTGCTGTGTGAAACTTCGGCACAAAGCGAATCTTGTACGTTTCCTTGAATTTGTAGCTCCCAGCTCGAGACCTGGCCACGTGCTAGCTGAAAATGGCTTCCCGCACTCAACCACTCGCAACAGCAGCAGCAGCAGCAGCAGCAGCAGCAGCAGGGGAAGCAGGAGTAGCAGCAGCCCACGCCACGTATATCAGCAAAATGTAATTTCATGGCTCAACAAACTCAGTGAAATACATGAGAGTTCAAAGTTTCAGCTTGTTGCAAAGCCAAGGCAAAGCACAGCCAAGACAATTCGTGGCCATGCTGGCAGATTCTGGCCGCAGGACTTGAAGCCGCCCGGAAGTTATTTAATGGGATTTCTTTATGCCCAAAGATAAGTCAAAGATTGTAAGCAAATTGTCTTGTAAAACAATATGCTGAAAGATCCCAAAATATATCTATGCACACAGAAATAGAGTAAGAGAGAGAGAGAGAGAGATAGAGAGAGAGAGAGGGAGAGAGAGAGAGTGAGACTAAGAGAGAGGGGCTAGGTGGGTAGTGGGCGTGGCTGGCTAAAGGATAAGCCCAACAATTGTTGCACACACTTGAAATTAAATTAACTTTTTTCTCGCCCCCTGTCCACGCTGGAGTGGCTGCTGCGTCGCTTTGTTCAATGCCTGCCGCTGACAGTTCCAAATGGAAAGCGTTTTTGGAGCTTGGGCAGCGCGAGCGTGAGGGGCTCCCCGCCCGACTGAACTCTCTCTGTAGCTGCTCTATCTCTCGCTCCCTCTCTCTCTCTCTCTAGCTGGGTGGCTTCTATGTGTGTGTGTGTGTGTGTGTGTGCGGCGAGACCTTTTCCAAAATAGAGACAATGTTCGCTGTGTTTTCGATGATTGCTCAAATATTGTCTTTGGCTGCGGCACAAGATGTTAAAACACAAGTTCAACTGCGCAACGCACAGCAGCATCAGCAACAACAACAATATTAATAATATAACAACAACAACAACAGAGAAACATAAAACAAACAAATCGCAATCGGAATGAATGAATGAGGCAATGACGCAAGGAAATCTCATTAGCCGCGTGTCTTCAAGTTTCATTTTTAATTTTGAACACTTTTTGATCTCCCTCTCTCTTTCTCTCTCTGGCTACTTCAGTGAGCACATATGTTATTTGTATACCTGTACACTGA